TTACCGTTAAAACCTAACAAGTCTACTGCTGAACATATGCCTCCCCCTGAGATCGTCACATAGTAGATACTTGCCAAAGTCACCACTCTTGGCAGGCAGATAGACAATCGTAGTTTTTTATTTCTTATTTGCTTCCAGGAAGACGTAGCTTTTTAGGGTTCCGTAGTCAACTAGGAACCCGTACAGTCTTACTACAAAAAAGTATTTAAACACTGGTCCAACATGTGTTTAGTTAGACACGGACTTAAATGATAAACACATGTTAAACAATGCTTTAAATTTCGCTACCACTAAACCGTGTTTAACGCGTGCCTCTATAGACAACGTTTAACTTTATTCTCCAGGTCACACTGCAATACAATCGTTCAGCATTCGATCATTCGTTTTGTTTTATGCAAATTAATACGACTAACTACGTAAAAATTAAAATTTGTTTTGTCTCAAAGTTCGATAATAAATAAGATATATATATATATATATATATATATATATATATATATATATATATATATATATATATATATCTTTGTTAAATTTTCAAGAGTTATTTTATTTATGAACAAAAACAAATAAAATTGCAAATAATAGACAAACATATAGGCTGATGGGTGAAGCTATTATTCTCTACCGACGCCACACGTAAGCATAGTTTAATTTTGTGTGAATCTAACTTACTTGATGACGAGCCCAGTACCGTAATGCACAAGCCACTTGCACTGCTGGATCTATTGTGTTATCACGAGAATCACTCAGGATATCGTCTTTCACAAGATCTAATATTTTTCTAGCAAAAAAGTTTGCTGAATCCACATTTTTTCTTAAACTTGGCGTCGTCGTATTTTTCAAACGGATTTAACCCTCACACGAACCGCATTACTTTCTCGGAACATTTCCGCATAGTTATACATATCGTCTTCATCGAAGTAATTAACAAAATGAATTATATCCATGTTAAATAAAATACTGAACTCACGGAAAGATAGGTTAGACACTAGTTAAACAAGGGTTTGCGGCTGTTTAAATTTAAACAACGTCTAAGCCGTATCTATTCATAAACCACCGTGAAACACTCTTTTGTAGTAACCAATTTGCTAAACACGTGTTGAACAGATGTCTAACTTTTTTATAGTAAGACAGTTATAGTTTCGCCATCTCTGTCTGTCCGTCTGTCCGTCCTCGCTTAATTTCTGTGACCGTTAGCACTAGAAAGCTGAAATTTGGTACCAATATGTGTATCAATCACGCCGACAAAGTGCTAAAATAAAAATTGGAAAAAAAATATTTTATTAGCGTAGCCCCCCTATATGTAAAGTGGGAAGTGATTTTTTTTAATTTCAACCCTAACGTGTGATATATTGTTGGAAAGGTATTTAAAAATGAATAGGGGTTTACTAAGATCATTTTTTGATAATGTCAATAGTTTCAGAAATAATCGCTCCAAAGGTAAAAAACAATGTGTCCCCCCCCCCCCCCTCTAACTTTTGAACCATAAGTTTAGAAAATATGAAAAAATTCTGAAAAGTAGAACTTTATAAGGACTTTCTAGGAAAATCATTTTGAACTTGGATGGAAACAACAGTACCCACTACCGGGAGCAGTTGCAGGAGCACGGAGCGCTGCTGGAGCGCGAACATAATGGATACGCACCTTTAAACTCATAAGTGGTGGGAACACTTATTGTGACGGACGGGAAACTACGGAACCCTACACTGAGCGTGGCCCGACACGCTCTTGGTCGGTTTTTATATAGGAAAAGGTTACAAACGAGCTCACAGTCCAGCTAATGGTAAGTAGTGACTGTGGCCCATAGACATCTATACTCGATTACGAATTAAGATGCAGATGCCTTGTCACCCGTGAGGACTAAGATGGAATACCTCGTTTCCAGTAAAAAGGGTCTCCGGTTCTTTACACTCACCATACGAAACACAGCAGCATTAAGCTACTATTTTACGCTAGTATTCTGTAAGAGCGTGGTCCTTCCCCGGTCGAGCCGACCCATTCGTGCTACAACCATAATATAGCTGTAGCTTGGCTGCTAGGTTTGGTCCCCTATGTCGCCTCTCTCGACACCCACGGGACGGTATCGGGTATTGTATATTCTTACACCGCCAATTCACTGTAATTACGGTGGAGTACATTACATTACTATTATTTACAGGAAGTAGGTGTCGAAGACGTCGAGTTCGATGAACAAGAAGAAATGCCTGGTGAAGACTACACAGAGGAAGAATAAAGAGTCTAAAATTGTTTAAAAGAAGTCACACTATAGCGTAGCCTAATTTGTTTTCTTGGGTCGGTGCAAGCATAGGCGTAGTTAGGGAAGAGTAGAAGCAATAGAAATTTGAATACTTATTCAACTCCATTTGAGAAAAATTCCGACCCTGTAGAGCAGTGCCTCAATAGAGTAGGATCTGTGATTCCTTTCTTAGCTCGCGGACTTTCTTAACTTTAATTTAGTCTACTCCGCTCCATGAGAAAGCCCTCGAGTCCGATGAACGAAGTTAAAGCTGTGAAAGCCAACTGGCTAACAGCACTACATCACAGAAAATCGAGATATGCTCCAGTACGGGATCTTTTCTTGAATAGAGTTGGTTTGGAGTCACTAAGACTTAAAGGGAAGTATCAGTTGTTCTAACGTTCCGCTTTAATTACCCATTTTATTCAGTTAGCAATAAAACCCAGATGTTTAGAGCTTTAGATCTCAAACTACGGTTTTTACATGGATAAAGACTAAGGGTAAACGAGAGCACACAATCCACATGACGGTAAGTGGACACTGTGGCCCGTAGACATTTACATCTATCCTCGATTTAAGATTAAAAAGGCAGACGTTGTCACTCTTGATGAATTAAGCCTTGTACGGATTAAACGTTCCAATGTACACGTAATCTGGGTATTAGGGAGTGTAGAGGTAAGGAGAACAATCTCTCATAGGAGAATAATTGAAAAAGTGTCCATCTAAAACAATAAATAACAGTTCAAAAACATTTCACATCAGCGCTGGAATAGCTACGGGAAAAAGCTACATGAAATGAACTTAGCAGTTGTCGACAGTGTGAAGTGTGCTGCTAAATTGCTCAGTAGCTCTAAAATCTAAAATAACTTTATATAGTAAATATAACCTCGAAAAGTCGTCTATCCCATTAATATTTTTCGGCACGTTCTTTAAAATTTACCACGTAGCTATAGTGGTGCCACCCTTATTTATCGGTTTTCTATGGACACTTTTTAATACACAGTCTGCACTCCTTATCTTTACACTCCATACTGGGTATGTTGAATACACGTAAGGGTGTATACGCGTACAGGGCATCTTTATGCATTGCGAGATTATGAACGCGTGGTGGATGTCAAGACGCAAGTCGGCCAACCAGTATCCGCCATGACTCTGAACACAGCTGTCGTGTGCACCACTACTGCGGCACTTCTCGTTGTGCAACCAAACGTCGACTGGCGACAACTTGCCGCGAGTCGACACGCGTGCTCAAATTGTATACGCGTTGCTGCAGGTACGGACTAGCGTTCCTGTGTACGCGTAACCGACTACGCGTACATTGGAACACTTAGTCCGTACAAGGCTTAAGATGGAATGTCTCATTTCCAGTAGGAATGTCTCATTTCCAGTAAGAAAAGTCTCCGATTCTCTACACTAACTATGCGACACACAGCAGCATTAAGATGCTATATTACGCTGGTATTCATGTTTTAGCCGTACTCTTTAATAACCCCTTCAGTTGTAATAAAACTGTTTGCAATAAAAATGTCTAAGAGTTTGGAAGTAAAGTTACGATTGCAGACGTTTTAATCTTAATCGTAATATATATAGATTATGTGTCACGTTGTTTGTCCGCGATGGACTCCTAAACTACTAAACCGATTTTAATCAAATTTGAACACCGTGTGCAGTTTGGTCCAACTTGAGAGATAGGATAGTTTTTTGCCCATGAGTGACCTACATTTTTTTATTTTGCGAATTTAAGGATTTTTATAAGGACATAACAAAGGATCGTCGAAAAGGCAGAACAACGTCTGCCTGGCAAGGTAGTATGAAATATAGTATTTTTGGGGGGCTTGAAGTCTGTTTTAAGTCGCATTCTCTTACTCGGGCAACCTTTAAATATAGCCGACACGGTAAAAATCCGGTGGTCTGATATCAATGGAGTTCAGTCTTGGATCTTAAAATTTGGTCAAGATCGAATTTATCAGACGGTAACACTAGGCCCACTACAGTGTTGGTTTCACACCGCCCAGGATAGATATCCCTAATATTATCGCAGAAGCGCCTTTCTTGTTGTTCATCGTGTGGCTTCTTTTTAAGTGTACAGTGTTGTTATTTATTGTAGTGTTGTAATAAAGTTTTTGATTTTCGTGAAATATTTTATTTATATGGCAACACTCACCTTGCTCTATAAGTTATAAAAATTGAAAACTTATGGAGAATAACGGTTCTCGATGAGCAGCCTCTTACTGGTAAGTGAAGTGTTGGTGGCCCCCACCAGATGGAGTGACGACCATATGAAACATGTAGGAAGTCGATGGATTTAGGTGGCTCTGGGCATCGCTGTGGGGCATTCCTTGAGGAAGGCTCCTGTTTAGCAGCGGACTAGTGATAAGCTTTAATAATATCTATCATGATTTTTTTTATCTAACATAAACAGTTAATAGGCAATTTATGTCTATCAATAATAACCGCGTTAGTATCCACCACATCAACGTGAGTATCCACCCTAGAATGGATTCTTTAGGCTGGATAAACGAAATAACCCTTAGTATCCAAGAAAAATTGAGTGGCAGCCTCGTACCGGTAGGCGTAGTGTAGGGCGACCCCCTACTAGATGGAGTGACGACCTGGTAAGACATGCAGGAAGTCGATGGATGCAGGTGGCTCAGGACCGTGCTTTGTGGCATTACTTAGGGGAGGCCTATGTTCAGCAGTGGACTTGTGAAGGGCTGTAATGATGATGATGATGATGATGATCCAAGAAAAAAAATTGTAATCAACTTATTTTATTAACATTAAATATAATTCTATTAACTGGCTTCTCCGGAACTTTCCTTATATCTTCATTACCAAACTTATCATAGTTTAAATATTCATTTATATTAGTTACAACCTCTTTATCAATGGATGTACAGTCTATCACTTCTACTGGTGTTTCCTCAATTTTTTTACGCTTAACTTTAGCTTCGCTGTTATAGACTGGTCCTTTTTCTATTATTATGTTTTTATCTTGTACTCCATTATCCAATTTATTGTTTATGTCTTTTTCGTTTGAAACACAGAGTATATCTATATTATTTCTATTGGCAACATTATAGGAATCGTTTATTAAATATGGTTTAAATTTTTTGTTTGAATATACTGTATTTTTTTTTCTCTTGCTCCTTGAAACTTTTATCTGTTCACCTAAATTGATAGTGTTTATTTCACCCATGTTAAGCTTGGAAACTTTTGTTTTTGGTACTTCTATATCAATTGTTTCTTTGGGTTTAGTCTCGGCCATCTGCAAATTTCTAAGCCTGTATAGCACATCTTTTTGTCGCTGCAATAATTTCTGTCTGGTCTCCTCAACGGTTTCCATCTCTGGAGCGTAGCATACGTGTAATGAGCCGCCATAAAAGTTTTTTGTGTCCAACATTCGCTTTGCTATTCTGGCGGATTGTATTCTTTCGTACTGTGCGTGGTATGTCTCTGCGAAAATCTCTGATGGGTGTTGCGGTGATATATTAAACTGTAATAGTTTGCCAAACTTCATGAATAGTGCCTTGGTTTCTTGACGGAGATTGAGAGCAGGAACACCAAAGATGAGGAGATGGTTTGATTCTGTGGCAATGGTATACACCTGGTAAAAATTAAAGTTTTTATTTCATCTATACAGATATATGTTTAAAATTAAAGTGTCTGTTTATTATGTCAAATAACAGTTTTTAACAAAATGAAAGTATATATGGTAATGATAACAAAAAAAAAATTTAAATTTTTGACTTTCACTGGCAAATAGCTGATGTTATGAGAAGTAAATTACGCTATGTTTATTTCAGAAAAAGAATAGGTGTTTAGGTTAATTATTAGGTATGCAAAAATATTTAAACCCATGAAATCCATTCATAGTAAATTCAGGAAGCACACAGGAAGTTATGCTAATAGCTAGTTTGATTGATAACCCCAACAGTAGAATTTTTTTCTTTATAGTGGAGGTGTTTTACACACATAAATTGCAAATGGACAATCATCCAGACCATCAAATATTATTTCTAGCACAAACACAGAGCAGAATCACACCATATATGAATCTGTAGCCCTCCAGTGCCAACACAAATGTGTTTTGTAATAAGATTCACTTTATTATAGGCACTGATCACAGAAACGGCCTCAATGATACGGTGATTTATTTGCCACTGTATTTTAAATTACATTTAACCTTATTAAAGCCATGGTAGCTCAGATAGTTAGTGCTTGCTGTAAGTTTCACAGTATGTGAGCAAACCATTTTTGAACCCCACCTGCACCAAAGAAAGTGTTAATTGCAATTTTATGTGCTGATTTACCATATGCTCGGTGGTGAAAGAAAACATAGTGAGGATACCTGCATGTCTGAGAAATAAGATAAAAAAAATGTTTTAAAGACTTTTTTTGCCATGCATTGGGGCAGTGCGGTGGACCATTCTTTGTCCTAAAACCCTCTCAGAAATGAGTGGTGAAGGCCTGTGCTCAGGAGTGGGACATACATAGGCTGTAGCATAGCAAGACCTCACTCACACATGCATACCTAGCCACCAGAATATAAATTAAGTTTTGTTATCAATTTTGAAAACTTAAGAAGCAATGCTATGTTGTGGCATTGAAAAAGATCTCATTTTACCATATTATCCCATGAATTTTGTTAAGAGGTGTCAGAAAAAAAATGAAACCCAAGACAAGGAACAGTTCCATTCTAACAAATCAAAACTATAAAAAAATACAAGCTGCCTGTCATGCTTGGTAACTATTTAAAATATCCAATAATAAAATAAAATTAAACAATCTTTATTGGGAGGAGGCGCATATGTTCAGCAGAAGCCTTTTGATAGGATGTAATAAATCACTTTTATAACCTTACAACATGTGAGGACTTGAGGGGTTATCAATAATCAAGATATATATTGTCGATATTTGTAATTGTAATATATCAATATTCTATATTTATTTTTGTGTTTCGAAATTCTTATCGATTTTGTATTTTTTAAAATGTTGCATTAATCAACAAAACATTAAGCAACAAAGTTGCTACAAAAGCATTCATGTGCTGTTGTTTTTTTTCATCATCTACTTATAGCACTAAACCATCTAATTTAATATATTATGTATTACTTGTGAGATACATTGTTTTCATGTGATGGCCAAAGTCAATCTATTTATTTAAAACAAAAAGATTTTTAACATTGATGTGGTCACTATAAGACATTGTTAGATTAGCTAATTACGTAATAACATAAAACAGAAGGAACCTTAAGTAGGGACTGAACTAATTAACCGACTTGGTATTACATGGATCTCACTACTTTTTACGATAGGAGAATGTTACGAGACTTGGTTTTTTACAAGTTATGTTTTTGATGGTATTTACTTTAACAGCAGTAAGTTTTCTTCCTTGTCGGTACGGCAAGCGACTGGTGCAGAGCGGCTGCTGTTTGTGATGCGCCAAAAGCCTTTTGTTTTCTTCAGTTTCAGTTTGCATTGTACAAATAAATTTCTGGAAGACGCCAATAGCGATTTTGTTGATTTATCAATTATACGTGAAACGTAGTAACTCTATTGATGTATCTATGTCAGACTGTAAAATACATTATGATTTAAAATCAAAATAATAAATTATAAGTGAAAACTAAGAAAGCTTTACGTACAAAATAATAACAAAATCGATGACAATGACAAATTGTTATCGATTTTGTCCTTGAAATTGACAATGTTGTCATATGTTAAGGATAATCTGACTACGCGTATTTTGGCCACATAACAACAGTGTTTGGTTTGGTTAGTAAGAAATCCTCGAGTAAAAAAGATAATATTCATAATATTATATTATATAATGTCTTATCACTTAAACACCTATACTTACCATAAAATATTATATTATCGAAAGGCTTAGTGTTTGCATACACTGTAGTCTGATTCATGACCCAACTCGATGTCCAACATTATCGGGTGCGAGTCTTCGAATCGATCTTAAAATGCGATCTTAAAATGATAAATCAATGAATCTATTATCCTGTTTATAAATAAATATCTGTATAACTTTCAGACTGGAACTACTACGGCTTGGTTGTTTTAACGTACCCAGTTGGATGATTAAGCATAAAAGGAATTCGAATTCACCTGTAAAAGTTAAAATTATAGTTTTTATTTACATTCCGCAGCGGGGCACAGGCCTCCTTTCATTTGTATAAGATTTTCAGAGCAAGAATTGTCCGCCACGCTGTCCCCGCTACGTGTTGGCGTGTTTCACATGTCTACGAAATATTTTATTTAATTTCATTACCCAGACATATTTTTCCTCGCAATGTTTTCCTTCACCACCATACACGTGATAAATCAACACTTCAAATTGCAATAAACCAATTCATTCGTGCTAGTGGGGATCGCAACCGATGCTTGCATTAATAAAGCTACCACGACTTGAGATCACCCGAGAAACAGAAACAGATTTTTTTTTTCAAAATAGATTATTGAAAATTGCGTATAATTGATATATCAATCAGATAGAAATTAATTCATGAACATCTATTGTTCTAAACATGAAGGTTAGAGAACAGGAGAACGATCGCAGTAGAAGTGAGAAGATAGTGTCCCATAAATATGGACACCATAAGTGAGGCGCTGCGATCGCTAAGTTCGGTCAATAAAAGTCATTTTCAGTCTATTTTTCCGATCAGATGCTAAACCACTTGCACATCTATGCACAATAAAATATTTCTCCATTTTTTAATGTTTCTTTAGTCAAAAATTACAAAATTGCGGAGCATGAAAATTTTCTCACCAATGCCGCGGAGAAAATTTGTACATTATTCAACTACCTTCATCTACTTCTACTCATAAACAGCTAACTTAGTAGTCACTACTCACCGACGTCAGCGCCGCTATAAATTCTACAATTTTCAGGGACAGGCGAGCTATGCTTTAGTACGTAGTGATCGTTCTCCTGTTCTCTAAACTTCATGGTTCTAAAGTAAACATACTTATTGAAGCTGAATGAGTGACATAAGACATCTCTTTTTTACGTAATATAAACCAGTGCTTGACTTCTATCCCACATGTTGGTAAATGGAGATGAAGAAGCCAAAGATGGTAAATCGCTCCGTCTTAGCGTAATAGAAGCGTATGCATTGTTGCCTTTTAGACAGATGGTAATCTTACGAAAAGACGACTTCATTTCATTTCACTCATTTCTATGCATTATGAAAAATCAAGCAAACCGTTTAGTTCTAACTAGGCTCATTGAAAAATTATAGATATTTTTGATTCGATATTTTAGCCAATATATTTTAGTTCGATAGATTGATATATCGATACAAAAAATTCAATGTAGACAAACGTATCAAAAACAATATTTTAAGCTATTGCACAGCTTCTATCGCGGGCCTTGAGCGCGGGGACCGAATCCAGAAATTCCGTAACGAAAAAAAACCTCACGCTCCCCACTCCGACGGGCACGGAGGTGTGGCGTTGAAAGCCGTGCATCGTCTAACGTCGTTTCAGTTCGGCAGACTTCGACACTCGGCAGAGTTCGGCACGGTATTGTATGCGTGCGACTAGACGTATGCGTGTACACTAGCTGCTAACTCAATGATAAAAATTCCTGAATAACCTACATGTATTGTAAGATATTAAAAATATTTTAAACAATATTAACTTCTCATTTATTCAATAAGAGAAAAAAAATTGTTTTCTTATCGGTCACCACGCTCAAAAAGTGTAACTTGATTTAATATCAAAGACTTAACTGCATAAATAAAATAAATAAATAATTATAATTGCATAAGTTGATAAAAAATGCTATGCAATAGCTTTACCGCGGCAGTCACCGAGTGCCACACGTATTTTTTTTAAATTTAATTTATTTACGGTTTACGTAGCATGGTGTGGATGAAAAATCACTAAAACATCACTGATTTTTTTTAATCTGTTGTCAATATTATATTAACATTAACTTCAAAAATCTCACCTAATGTAGTTTTTTTTTAAATAATAATATTATAAAAGTTGAATTTATATCACTTGCGTTTGCAGTTACTTACTATACTTACTAGCGGTATTTTTTTAATTACTAGAGATGGGACTTATAATCGGACGTAGAAACTGTCAAACGAATACAATCGCAAAAAATAATTAAGATAATTCTATTTTGGTATGTATGGTGTAATATCGTCATATTCATATACTAAATTTGTAAAATTGAGAAAAAGAAATTAAATAATTTGGTAATTTTATACTATTGCGGTCCCCTGATTTTTTGGCTCTAGAAAATCGAAAAATCATCCGATTTCGATGATTTTTTTAAATCTTCGTTTTTACGGCGGATTTAGGAAAAAATTACAGGAATAAAAAAATAAACTTATATTGGTTTCAGGGCTTTAAATATTTATGAAAATGCGCTCATTATAGTAATAATTATATTATTTTAAACAAACAAAGAATATCTTAATTTCTAGGATACAAACACTTTAAGATACAGCTTAACAATAAATAAAATTCAGTGAACATCTGTGTCTGAACTAGATAACTTAATATCTGTGTTTCAGACAGCAGCGCTCTTCGTTTTTAGATTTCACTGTATATAAAAAAATCAAATATCATTAAGTAAGCCTCCTTGTGTGTAGAGTATATTCAAATAGTTTCCTTTGTAGTCTCTAACATTTAAGCTTCGTATGTCCATAATTTTGCTCAATTTAGAGTATAGGTATGGACCCAAAATGGGAAAATATTTATTTGCGAATTGGTGTTTAAATGTTGGTCTATTGGGGAAAGTTATATCTCTGCGGCGCTTGGAAATGGCGAATGTATCAGAGCTTGAGTGTTGTTTCATAATAGTGAGGAGGATGAACAGTTGGCGAACTGAGAGGACTTCACAAGGTTGATACAGGAGGTAGGTAGGAAACAAATAGGGGCGAAAAGTGCTTACTTTAAGAATAGCTCTTTGAGCTATTTCAAGTTATTTAATAGTGGTTTTTGGTGCATCTCCCCATACAGTAAGGCCGTAACCCGTTATAGATTGTACAAGAGCCAGTAAGATCTGTTTAACCAGTTTAGGATTTGCCACATTTCTTATATTTTTAAATACGTATATCAGCTTTCTCAACCTTGTAGTAATTAAATTACCATGAGGCTGGAATGAAAGATTGTTATCTATAAGGATACCAAGATATTTAAACATATTGGTAGTGATCAGTGAAGGGCAATGGCATACGTCAATATTGTAGCAATCATGCGCAATCAGAGAATACGAAGGAGTTTTCGAGGTGGTGTTTCGCATGGAGAAAGGTATGTAGTGGGCTTTAACACAGTGACTCACAGTGTTAAAGCCCTCCTGCACCATTCTATAAACATCCTCCCACTTGTCGGCTGAGAACAAGAGTGCAGTGTCATCCGCTTAAGAGATAACTTTACCACCTTCTAAACGAAGATCACAAAGGTCGTTTAAATAGGCTAGAAAGAAAGTTGGCCCTAATATACTGCCTTGCGGCACACCATAAGTAATAAGTAGAACATCACTAATAAAGTCATCAACCTTGGTGCATTGACAACGATTTGAAAGGTAATCTTCAATTAGTTTTAACTCATTTCCTCGAATTCCCAGCCTGTCTAGTTTACTAAGTAGCATGTGCACCGAAACTGTGTCAAAGGCCTTTGCTAGGTCATTCTCATAGATAGTTTTACAGTGACAAAGTTAATAGTTAGGCATGTTGAATAGATGTGACAAAGTATTCCATTGAAATATTGGCGGAGCACACACCCACAGTACATATAATAAAGTCAATAAAGAAATTATTGACTTTATTATACGTACTGTGGGCGAAATTACCATTTTGTTTATATTTAAGACACAACAGAACTGCCTGGTGATCCGTGTGCAGTAGTTTATAATGCAATGGTGATAGCTGGGTTTTTAGTTTTTAATATCACACGATCAAGGCATGTCCTGCCATGTCTGCCCGCGAAGCGGGGCTCCGTCACACGGGATTGACTCGACTGTGCTGCGGGAGAGAGTTGGGGGAGGAAAGTACCACGCCACTCAACGTAGCGCAGTCGAGGGAAGCCCGGTCGACGGAGCCTCGCTTCGCGGGTATCCTACTCCTGAGTGGTTTATAAAAAATAGCCACGAAGGAGATGGCGCCATGTCCTTCTAACCTAACCTGCCCGAGTCAGGATGCCCTAAGTCCCGAGCTCGCTTCATTCGATCTTACACTCAATAAAACAACAAAATATTAACTTTTATAATTATTTCGATTTTCCAGAACGTTTATAATAACATTTTAAGCAAGAAAACCATATAAAAACTTTAAATTAGATAAAAAATTAATAAACAAACATTTTCAATGTTTTTTTTTAATGTTCGTTTTTTGTGTAGATTAATAAAAAAAAATATAAATTTCGTTTAATGCTTTGCAAAAAAGTTATGAACGATCATATTCGAAGAATTCGTTTATGATCACATTTAAAGTCATAAAACTGTATGAAATCTTCAGATGAGATATTTTCCATATTTTTTTTTCATAAATCCGCAAAAAAAACGAATCAGATCATCGAAATTGCATGATTTTTAGATTTTCTAGAGCATAAAAGCAAGGAACCGCGAAAGTACAAAATTACCAATAATTTTATATTTGATTCATGAAATTACATGTGAAGGCAGAGTTTTTCTACTTTCGCTACCGAACAAATACTTGTTTGCCTGAAATAATGAATTGGTCTTAAAAATATTAGATTTTCTAATTTAGCCTAATAAAAAGGAATAATTATTAAAATAACTTCGTTTTTATTAAGATTCTCATATATTAAAATAATTTAAATTTTGTATAAAAATACTCTTACCTATTATTGAGCCCGGCTGAACTAAATTAATTATTATTTTAAAACCGAAAATCTTTCAAAATTTGACCACTATATCGAAATTTTTTCGTGATATCGATATTTTTTACTGCTGACATCCCTAGCTCTAACTGTCTACATTATAGGTAGTATTTTTATTGAATAAACGAACGAGCACACAGTCCACCTGTTGGTAAGTGGATGCTGAAACTCAGACATGGTCTACATCTACCCTCGCTTAAGAACCAAAATTCAAATATGTTGTTATCATGCTGCTAGCTGGTATTCTGAGACCGTGGTCCTTCCCCGTTTGCGCCGACCCAATCGTAATACAACCATAATATATATGCTTTTATGATAGTGGGAAGGGGAAGAAGGAATTAAATCATAAATTGCGATATATAATAAATTTATTATTAAAAAAAATTGAACAACCATTAAGTTCTACTGCCTCAATTCTCAGTAAAGTAAGTCTGCCATCATTTTTTATCCCAAAGATACGGGATTCCTCACGATGTAACCTTTCACTGTCGATTTCCCGTAAAAGAACTATAAAGATTTTGTAAAAACCGGTAGGCTTGTAGTAACAAAACATAAGTAAATAAAAAAAATGCATACATGTCAATGGGGACCTATAATCTTCCGCTAACAGATGTTGCCAGTTGGGACTGAGGTGAAAATATTTCTTTAAGTAGACGGTCACAGTGGTATCATCGTCGAAAAGATGCGATTTAATTAACACATTTGAGACGAGTCCGTGGCGCAGTGGCTTAGCTATGAGTTACAGCGCTAAGGGCCGCAGGTTCGAATCCCGCACGGAACAAGTATTTGTATGGCCTACAAGTAATTGTTCCGGGTCTGGTTGTTTGTCCTTGTGAAATTTAAGTAAACTGTCCCCACGATACAGGAGAAAATCCTAGTGTGGGGGTAACGTTTTTAAAAGAAGAAAAAAAAAACAGTTTTTTTGGTTTCTAGAGTGTGTTTAAATAGAACACAAAGCCTCAGTGTTGTTTATAGTTCAGTTCTCTAATTTTTACATATTTTTAACTTTTTTTAAATATTTCGGACTTTTAGGAATTCCCGTAATATGGTTTACTCTATGTAAATAGTATAAAATAGAACTAATCTCTATAATATATAAAAACATCGAGCATTTAACCTGAAATAGAGCGGTATTGTTATTTGTTTTGTAAGAAAACAAATTCCGCCAAAACGCTGCGCCGGTCGCTGCGCTCTGATTGGCCGATTCAAGCACTAGTAAACACGTAATAAATAAAATGAGATGGCTTATATTGGTTACACCTAGGTAAGGGCAAGACGCATAGACAAGCGTCCAAGTGATTCATACTAATGCCAGTTTAACTTGAGCCGTATTATATGGATGTAAATTGAAACAAAATCAAAGTTTATTGATACTTACCGATGAAACGTGATTCCGTATGTTTTATAATTCGATGTCTTGCTGTTTTTTCCACACCACCGAATAGAACAACACGACATTATGGGGTTTAATATACCAAACTGAATATTTTCGGGAGTATCGGGGGACGTACACACAGATCACATGTTGGTGAGGTACTGTTATAGGGCGAGCGTGAATTGCCATTTATCAGTGACAAATCACTGATCAGTTTCGGAATTGGATGGCTCACATTACTACTCTATTCAGGTTAAATGCTCGATGTATAAAAATAAGCAGTTTATTTCTGTTAAAACCGTTAGTCTCGTTAAAACTAAAAAAAGGATCGACCGATTTAAATGAAATTTGTTTGTTTTGTGTTTGAATGGGTCCTTTGATGATTTCGATTTGTATTTGGACCCGGTAGGTGGCGCTGTTGTCGAGAACCAGACACCACCCGTACGAAATCGAGGCGATTTGATAGTATTTTGTAAGAAAAATATATCTCTATACTTTTGTAAAATAGAAAATGTTTACAGTCTACTTGGCAGTGTATGTACACTAAGCTTTGATATCAATAGCCTTCAGTCTTCATGTCGTTGAGTCCTAACTCATCGTTTTGTTCATATGTTCTCTCGTAGCGGTGTACCTTTAGACCTGGCAACAAAATTATAATTAAAAAAGTCAAAGTTACAGCGTATACTTCCTATATTTATACGTCCTACGTCCCACTACTGGGCACAGGTCTCCTCTCATTTCTGAGAGGGTTTTAGAGCAATGAAGTGTCCGCCGCGCTGATCTATGTACATAATTAATTATTTTTATTTAATAAATAATTTTCGCATGCCAAACATGGTAAACATGTGGACTATGTACAATATTACTCTGGTGGACTATGTACCAATGTAGCTTTATTAAATGTTAAGCAAATATCTTGATGTACAACCTCTTGGAAATAAAGAATAAAGAATATGAAACTATTTTTCACCTCCGATGTACCGAATAAACAATATTATTATTATCATAGGGTATCTATATAGTTTTCTCAATTGGTTGGGCTCTATAAATATATAATTATAAATGAAAATGAAAACATAAATATACATAAATATCAATAAAATAAAATAGATACATAAATAAATAAAAGCCCAACCAGATGGAAGCCCTCGACAGGGGAGACCAAACGGCCGAGGGTTAGGGGGAAAGGGAAAGAAACCGGCGAACGATGCGGGCGGTATCGAGGAGCACCGCCTTCTGCATTTGAGCCCGGAGCGGTCCGTCACGGAGTCCCAGTCGCCTCAGATGACCCGAGAGGCTGACTGGGATTAGCCCATTCGCAGAGACGACTACAGGAATAATTTCGGTCGGCAGACCACCCCACATGTCGGTCACCTCGTGAGCCAGGTCCAGATATTTTGTTCGTTTATCTGTTTCGGCTTTCACGAGGTTCTCGTCATACGGAATGGTAATGTCGACCAAAAATATCCTTGACTGTGCCCGGTCCATCAGCACAATATCAGGCTTATTCGCAAGAATAATCCCGTCTGTGATGATGGCCCGGTCCCAGTAGAGCCTGGCGCGATCATTTTCGAGCACGGCTTCCGGCAAGTACTTGTAATACGGCAATTTCCGGTCCACGAGACCGTATTTCAGAGCGAGCTCCTGGTGTAGAATTCTGGCTACTAGGTTGTGTCTGTGCAAGTAGTCAGAGTTAGAAAGCGCCGAACAACCGGAGATGACATGCCTAAGTGATTCGCCGGGATGGCGGCAAGCTCGACAGATGACGACGGTGCCATCCTTTAGGATGTATCTCTAATAGTTGTTGGTCTTAATAACCTGATCCTGTATTGCACAGGCAAAACCCTCGGTTTCCCCGAAGAGGTCACCAAAGCGTAGCCAGTAGAGGGAGGCTACTGTGTCTACGAAAGGCTCATGTAGACCCTACCTCCTGTGGAGCTCCTTCTCCTTCCATACGGTCTCCCGGTTGGAAATGCTATGTACTGCCGGGTCTTGCCATTGCTCGTTAGCTAAGGATAGAGGGGTAAGTCCTTTATCACAACAAATGACGTCCTTATAGAATGGATCATCTGATCTCACTAGGAAGTAATTACAGAGGCTGCACACTTCGCGATTACGCATGGAGAGCGCGCTCAAAAAGCCACGCCCACCATGCTTTCGCGACAAGTACAGCCTCATTACCGACGATCTCGGATGATGCATCCTATGGGACGTCATAGTAGTGCGGACTTTTCTATCCAGGGCGTTAAGTTCAGTCTGAGTCCACCTGAGTATGCCAAAGGTATACATGAGGACAGGCATGATCCAACCGTTATATGCGTGTGTCTTATTCACACCAGACAAAAGGCTGTTGAGCACTTTGGTCAAGCGTGCATAAAACACGTCGCAAACTGACTGTTTCATACCAGCCTCATCGATACCGATGTTCTGTGACACACCCAGGTATCGGTATGTTTCAGCCTCGGAAAGGGTCCTTAAGTTGACGGGCATAGATAAGTCTATGCCCTCAGAGTTAGCAACCCTTCCCCTTTCAACATGGAGGACCGCACATTTATCCGTCCCCAGCTCCATTCCAATAGAATTGCTAAATTGATAAGTGATGTTTAGCAATTCCACAAGATGGGAGCTACTGGAGGCGAATAACTTGAGGTCATCCATATAAAAAAGGTGGGTCACTTTTGTACCTCCTTTCCGAAGCTGAAAACCCCTCCCGGAGCCCTCCAGTAAAGTACTGAGAGGGTTCAAAGAGAGGCAGAACCAGATTGGACTCAGACAATCGCCCTGGAAGATACCCCTTCTTATCCTTATGTGGCTTTCCGCAGCCATCATCCGCTCGCCCAGATGACAAAGGATCGTACTCCACTGCCCCATACATTGCTCGAGGAAGTCTCTAACTGTACAGTCTATCTTGTACAGCTCGAGTACTCTCTTTAGCCATGTATGGGGCACCGAGTCGAATGCCTTTCTGTAGTCTATCCAGGCGGCGGAGAAATTCCGACGGTTGCGTTTCACCACTTTGCCAATGACTGCGTCAATGAGAAGTGGTTCCTTGGTTCCACGACCACTGCCCCGACATCCATTTTGAGCGCGCGACATCACCTGATTTGAGTCCAGGTGACGAGTGATTGTCGCGCTCAAAATGGATGTTAGTGTCTTGTATATGGTCGGTAGACATGTGATGGGGCGGTATTTGCTCGGGTCTGTGGTTTCCTGGTCAGTTTAGGAACCAAATGAGTGATCCCAGTAGTGAAGAGGCTCGCGAGCGACTTCTGGTTGAGAGCCTCTTGGAACTGTCGGGCAAGCACAGTGTGACACACCACAAACCCCTTCAGCCAGTAGTGATGCAGCCCGTCGAGTCACGGACTTTTCCAGTTCGGGGCCCTACGGATCGCCTCGGCTACGTCATCCGGTGTTATAATGACGGGGTCCATGGGCGTTATACTCGCACACTGACTCGCCACAACTTCCGTCCAAGAGCCCTCGCTGTGGTTTACGGGCTCTGACCACAGGCCGCGCCAGAATGTTACAGTGTCGGCCTGATTCGGTGCTGGGCCCGTTCCACTTGCCATTGGTCGTTCCAATGATTCATAGAGCCTCTTCTGATCACTCTGGAAAAGACGATTCCGGTTGAACCGAATCGACCTCTCGGTATATAGCCGAATCCCCTTTCCCCAAGCAGCGATTCTCTGCTTCAGATCATCTATGCGCTCCGTCAGTTTTTTGCATTATATCCAGCTGGGACAAACTGACATTTGTCCCAGCAAATGCCATCCTGACAATGCGCACAATTCTTGGCCTGTTATTGCCTGATCTGAAGCATATCAGTCTGCCGATGAGAGCTCTAGCCTTTGCGATACGCTCCTCAATTCTTTTTCTGTATGCTGGGATAGCGCTACTTTGGCCAGTAGCGCGTCCAGCCGTAGAAACCTTGGCGCCTATGATACGGCAGACTGCCAGCGCGGCGCCAAAAAGAATTGAGTCCGTATCGCAAAGGTCCCGGCTGGCTTCCAAATAGGTCACCAGCATTGGGTTCAGAGCCCTCACGACAGCCCGATTCCGCTTGCTTAGGGCTATGCGGGAAAGTCGCGGTCGATTTTCGAGAGGCGTACTACGCGTTTCCACAATCGCCTCTTCCAATGTACTCCTCATTTGCTCTATTTCTAGTTCCTGGGCGAATGTTCTATCATAATTTGAATTAGCCACCACTGGGGTATTCACGGCGGTATCCACGTGTGCGGGATGTTCTGCAACTTGTGGCACCGCATCCTCAGCCGTAGCATTTTCATTTGATGAGGGAACAGCCTCACGTCGTAGCCGTTCGAGTTCGGCGTCATCAAATATATTTGAGCGCAAGATATACCGAACTCGGTCTGCCAGGTTTTGCTCAGTGACGGTTACAGATGGCTCCAGCTCAGCAAAAAGTCGATGCATCCTTGCCCGATACGCAAAACCTCCAATTTCTCCCCCTATCGCCCTATAATACGCCCGCAATGCGTTGCTATTCATTGAGATTGTTCAACGCATGCGGCGTATTCCACCAGTGGCGGGTGCCGATTGCTGGACCCGCGAAGACCCTGCCGTCACCAAGCCTGCTGGTGGGGATGATGGATGCGAGGGGCTACTAGGTGGTCGAGCAGCACCTCTCGCTCGGCTGGCGGTTCGCATGCTGTCACGTCCAGCGCCAGCTCCAGACGCGCCCCCGGCAACCCCCAGGCAGCGGCCCTTTGCGCGTTTTATCAAATTCCATCATCCATTTTAATGGGCCTCATTCAACGGGAGACGCCCAGACCCGGCGCCGTTTCATGGTGAGACCATGTGCACAAGCGGGCCTTTGCACCTTCAACTTATGCCGAGGCACGGCACTAACACCTCTTGGCAAGGTGCTGACTGACTGCGCTCACGTAGTGGTTTTGTCACTATTATTATTACTATTAATAACAACAAAAAAATAAAAATGCGGTTACTAATCCGCTTCTTTAAGCATGGCAAATATTTTAAATATCTTCCTTATGACGAGGCCTATGTTCAACAGTGGACTTATAATAAAGGTAAAGATATAATCTTACCATCATCAGGTTGGCTCGGGTCATCGGACAGACTCTGCACATAGGAGTTTCCAGCTGGGTCGTCCAAGATCAAGGTCACCGACCTCTTGCCTTCCAACACCTCGTCCAGCTTCTGCAGGAATCTGAAGATTTAAGACACTTTAACCTAAGAAAAAAAAGAAAAAGATATTGTGACAATTTTATTGAATAAGGGTGAAAACACTCTGTTCACCGGATGGCAAGAGAATGTTGTGACCCATAAACATCTATATATATATATATATATATATATATATATATATATATATATATATATATATAATAAAATTTAAAATGCAGATGCGTTGTCACTCCTGAGGACTAAGATGAAATGAAAAAGTATATGTATGGCATTCGGTCGTCGACGATTCGAGACGCTCTGCGTTGGATGCGGTCAAGTGGAAGGAGCTGGCACTGGGGAGCCCCAGCCCAGAGATGGGAACAGTATTTCATGTGCAGCCGAACCTGCGTCGTGTAAAGTTGCAGGCGGTGTGCCGGCATGAATAACTCTCCCGCTGTGCTGAGCACGCCAAGCTTTTTTTCACGTCAAACATTTTGGTAGTTGCAAGCATTATGGAAAAGAAGGCCAATTTGGCTCATATACATCTATATCTATCCTTGAATTAGGATTAAAATGTAAATACATTGTCACACATGAGGACTAAGATGGAATGACTCGTTTACAGTAAAAAGGGTCTCTGGATTTATACACTCACCATATGAAATACGGCAGTATTTATGTTGCTATTTTACGCTGGTATTCTGTAAGAGCGTGGTTCTTCCCCGGTCGAGCCGACCCATACATGCTACAATCACAATATATCTGCAGCGTGGCTCTACCATGTATAAAATTGGGGCAGTAATGAAAAGAAAGGAAAAATAAATTAATTTCAAGTGAATCGTTAACTTTTATAAAATTAAAATAAAACATAGGTAACATTTATTTTAGAGAATAAAAAATCTCTTAAGAACGGAAAAAATATCTCACCCCTCCAACTTCTCCTGTGCTATGGCTGGCGCATCCCCTATGACACCATTCTTCAGCTGATGTGCAGCGGCCTGCAGCAAGCCCTCGGTGGTTGTGAACCGACCCCCTAAAGCTCGACCCCCCACATCCATATCCAGCTCCGGGATATGCATGCTGCACGTTTCCGACTGAAGCCGAAAGAAAATATCACTTGATTAATGAAGGATTTTTTTTATAGGATAAGGTTGACAAACGAGCAAACAGTCCACCTGATGGTAAGTGGATGCTGCGGCCCATAGACATCTACATCTATCCTCGGTTACAAATCAATATGCAGATGCGTTGTCATCCGTGAGGACTAAGATGGAATGCCTCATTTCCAGTAAAAAGGGTCTCCGGTTCTCTACACTCATCATACGACACACAGCAGTATTAAGCTACTATTTGACGCTGGTATTCTGTGATAGCGTGGTCCTTCCCCGGTCGAGCCGACTCATTCGTGCTACAACTGTACTACTAATGTAACTGCAGCATGGCCTATCACGTAAATATACACAAAGAACGACCAAATTATGGGAAAGAAAGGTTCTCGAGTGGCAACCACGTTCCGGTAAGCGAAGTGTAGGGCGGAGATCCTAAAGATGGAGTGACGACCTGGTAAGATAGTTTAGTTTAGTTTATGACAGGCTGTTTTCCGCAACTCCACGTCTAAGCGGCGCGTATTTTGCATGTGGGCAGGAATAAAGTGGTTATTCGAGCCATGATATTTCCCCGAAGAAGTTCAACAGTCCTTTGATGTTGCAAGCAACTTCGGGGAGCGATCTTGGCGTGCCCAGATGTTTAGCCCTGTATGAAGCGACTTCTGGACATGTCAGCAACACGTGAGCCGCCGTTTCTTCCTCTCCCATGCATGCCCTGCACAGGGGGCTGTCAGTAACACCTATAGTGAACAAATGTTTGTTAAAAGAGCCATGTCCTGTGATAGCACTTGTTACTATCCTGATCTGTGGCTTGCCTGGTAAGACATGCAGGAAGTCAATGGATGCAGGTGGCTCAGGGATGTGCTTCGTGGCATTACTTGGGGGGAGGCCTTTGTTCAGCTGTGGACTTATGGAGGGCTGTAGTGATGATGATGGGATCAATTTCTAGTGATGTTTCCCTTCAATCAAAACAATTTTTTTATGCATATATGAATGTTTATTATATTGTCTATACATGTCAATAAAATTGAAGTCTGTCTGAGTTAGCAAAATTACTGCCTTTTATTATCTGGATAAAGTTAAAAAGTTAAAGTTACAGCCTATATACGTCCCACTGCTGGTGGTGGCTTACGTGCACAGGCCTCCCCTCATTTCTGAGAGGGTTTTAGGGCAAGGAAGTGTCCGCCGCGCTGTCCCAATGCGTGTTGGCGAACTTCACATGTCTTCGAAATATTTTTTTCTTATTCCTCAGACATGCAGGTTTCCTCACGATGTTTTCCTTCACCGCTGAGCACGTGGTAAATCTGTTAATTGGTAATCTGTTGACTGGTAATTATCTGGATATATTCACGAAATTAATAAATCATGATTAACTAATTTTATATTTTTGCCAGTCTCTTTATCCAGGTTAATTGTTAAAAATGGCTGAACCGAATGTGAATGAACTTTACGAACAAATTGATAGCAAAGCTAGGAGGAATATAGGCTATATTTTATCCGAAAAACTTAAAGATTCCTTTTTGTAAAAAAGATTAAAAATAATAATATAAATGGTCTTGGATTATTTTATATCTTAAGAACGCCACATTAATAGATCATATTCAGGCAAAGCTGAGGCACGTCGCTAGTTTTAAAGTATTTTGAGCAAATTGTAAACGATTAAACAAAATTGAAGAGTCTCTTTGTAATGTCAAAGTAACAGCTTTTTAATAAATGCATATGAAACTATTGTTGCGCGCCACAGTTGATGGCACTAGCGCCATCTGGTACAAGTATCAGAAATAGGAGTGTCAAGATCTTTCTGGAACTCTCCCAACAACGCCATCTATTAACGAATAGAAGAATTAGGCTTTCTAGAAAAGTCCACGCTCGAACTTTTCGCACTTAGTCGGTCGGGACCAGTATTTGCTGGAACATTCTGGATGTTCCGGTGGAAAAGGTGTATTTAAAGCTGCTGCAAGCAGCGATCGGGACAGTATTGAATTTGGCGATACAAGCGAAACTTCGGAGCGAAACAAAGTGAATCAGTGTGATTAATTATTAGTGTCTTTTAAGTTTTTATTGGTGTTCGGTAATTTAAGTGTTAATTTGGTAATTCAATCGGCAGTTTTTATTGTCACGAACCCTAAGCTCGTAAAATTATGTGCCTGTCTGTTTATTCCGGTTTATCTCCTAAATGGCTGGATCGATTTTGACGGGACTTTCACTGGCAGATAGCCGATTTTATAAGGAGTCACTTAGGCTACTATTATATTAGAAAAAAAAATAGAGCTCCACGCAAAAAAAAAACCCATGAAATCACTTATAATTTCGCATTCGTGGTTTTCACTTCAAACCTACATTCTTTAACATCAAACGTAAAATACCTAATATAATAATTAAAAAAAATATTTTTCATTAGATTTCGGTAAAATTTTGTCAACATATTGCTTGCACTTTTGCGAAGGCTGTACCTGGTAGTTGGAGCCGGTAAATAGCGCTGTTGTAGTAATCCTGATATCACCCGTGCGAAGCCGGGATAGATCGCTAGTATGAAACAAAAATTAAATCCTTACCTTCAGGATATCCCTGGAGAAGGCGTCTTTGCTGGCTATCCTTACTTCGTACTTCACTCCTTTGTCTTCTATCCCGCTACCTGACTTCACCTGTCGGAGATATTTCTCTTAATTTTCCCGAATACTCTCTATGGAACGTTTTTTTTTTAATAGAATAATGGTGGAGGATGAGTCGCTCGCGTCCGTAGGCTTCGACCACCTAACCTTAGGCCCACCCTACACGTGTCCCCCGGGTGGTGCTAAACGAGCGACAAAGCCGAAAAAATAGACTCGGCTCCTCGCCGTATGGTAGCGGCGTAAAATCTACCACCACCCTTTGTTCGCACCATGACTCAGAAAATAAAAGAAATGGCCCCGAGTTCCCGGCGCCCCTTCAATGGGGCAGGGGTGCGAAGAATCTCCGGGAGAAAAACCGGCGACGAGGTTCGCCACCCGTCACGTTCTGTCTCCCGGAGGGGCGAAAAGTGGATTGCGGAAACCCGTCTGGCTACGCTTAATGTATGTGGAGGAATGAATGATAAGATGGATGAAGTATGCGAAATGATGAATGACAGAGGAATAGATGTGTTATGTGTGAATGAGACGAAACGAAAGGGAAAGGATGCAACTGCACATGGCACGTATACCGCGTATTGGTCTGGTGTAGACGAGACCGAACGGGCATGCCAGGGAGTCGGTTTCATCCTTTCAGAAAGAATGGGTCAATGTGTAAAAGAGTATGAATGTGTAAGCCCGAGGCTGCTATGGATACGAATGAAAGTGGGCTTAAAGAAGCTGTTCCTGCTAGGGGTGTACGCCCCAGACATGTATAAGCCCACTTACATCCGAGAGCAGTTTTGGGACATGGTAAGGATGGTGTTGACAAAATGTAAGGAAAATGAAAATATTATTATGTTAGGAGACTTTAATGGAAGGGTTGGGGTGAGCAGGTCTGGTTATGAAAGGATATTGGGAACGTTTGGTGATGAAAGTATAAATGAGAATGGTGAAGACCTCCTCACCGTATGTGTGGAAAAGAATCTTTTTGTGACGAATACTTTTTTTCGTCATAAGAAGATTCACATGTATACATGGGAAAGAGGTGATGATAGAAGCATGATAGATTTCGTAATTGTGGATGAAAGAATGAGGAGCGCAGTCGTAGATACAAGGGTTTACCGGGGGTCCAACGTAGGGACGGATCATTACTTGGTCTTATGTCGAATTAATGGTCTTTTCAAGCGTTGGCGGCATCGGACATCTGTGTCTACCACTGCGTTACAGCGTATAAGAATAGAGAAGTTACAAGATGAAGATGTGAAAGAGAAGTATAAATGTAGACTGAGAGGAAATATTAGATGTTTGAATGAGTTGTGTATGAATGATTTAGACTTGAATACTGTGTGGGATAATATTAAGAAAGGTTTGGTGGAAGCCGCCACCGAAGTATGTGGTGTAAGTAAGAGAACAAATGAAAGGAAAAGTAATACGTTGTGGTGGGATGATGAGGTACGGGTGGAAGTTGAATCAAAGAAGAAAGCATGGTTAGATTTACTAGCAACCAAAGCTGGTAATTCTTCTGGTATGAATGATGAGATTGAAAGAAAAAAGGCAGAATTTATACGTCTAAATAAGAGAGTAAAAGAAGTTGTTGAAAGGAAAAAGAAATAAAGAACGGATAAGAATGATAGAAGGATATCTGATAATTTCCAGGCTAACATGAAAATGTTCTGGAAACTCGTAGGAACTGCCAGGGGAAATACAAAACAGCCTCTAATGAATGCTATAAGAGACGAGAATGGATATATTCTGAATGATGAAGCTTCGAATTTAAACAGATGGAAGGAATACTTTGAAAGCGTGTTTATGAGTGAAGAGTCGTCTGAATTAAATGAACTAGAAATTCCGAAAGAAGTGGAAAGGGGTATGGGGATAAGTGTAGATGAAATAATGAAAGCAATGAAAAGCATGAAAGCAGGTAAGGCAGCTGGATATGATAGAGTATCACTCGAGATGCTAAGGGCTGGAGAGGGAGTGGTGGCAGGCCTGCTGTACACCTTGTTTAATTTATGTTGGGAATTAAAACGGGTACCGGATGACTGGTGTAAAGCAGTTATAGTACCAATATATAAAGGAAAAGGGTCACAGCAGGACTGCAAAAACTACCGTGGAATCAGCTTGCTTAGTATTGTGGGTAAACTGTATGCTAAGATGTTAATTGAAAGAGTTATGAAAGAAACTGATGGAAAATTTGGGATGTGCAAGCGGGTTTTAGAAAGGGAATGGGGTGTACAGATCAAGTCTTTTCCATGCGCATAATTGCGGAGAAGTTTTTGGCCAAAAACCAGAAAGTTTTTTGTGCGTTCATCTGCGGACTTGGAAAAGGCTTATGACAGAGTGGACAGGAATGTGTTATGGCAAACACTGAACTCATATGGGTTGAGCGCTGGTTTGATACAGGCATTAAGGTCTCTTTATAGGGACTCTAGTGCTTGTGTCAGGATCAATGGGGTCTACTCGGACTGGTTTGGCATCCAAAAAGGTGTCAGACAGGGCTGTGTAGCTTCCCCTTGGCTGTTCAACCTATTTATGGACCGGTGTTTGCAAACTTTGAAAGATGAAGAATGTGGGTTAAGAATGGGCGAGTTAACCGTCAAATGCCTTTTGTATGCCGATGATCAAGTCATATTTGCGTCATCGGCGGCTGAGTTGCAAATGATGGTTACATTAATGAACTGGGAATTAAAAGAAAGGGGAATGAAAGTGAACGCAAGTAAGACGAAAGTGATGGTTTTTGAAAGAGAAGAAAGCAAAACGGTATGTGAAATAAGAATAGAAGGAGAGTTAATTGAGCAAGTGGATGAGTTTGTGTATTTGGGATGTGTATTTAGCAGGGATGGTAGATATGATAGGGATATAGAACGACGAGTAAATGCAGGGAATAGAGTGAATGGGGCACTACACTCTATTGTGAAGAACCAGAATGTGTCAAAAAAGGCACGTATGGTAATTCATAATGCTGTGTTAGTCCCTACTTTAATGTATGGTAGTGAAAGCTGGGTGTGGCAGAAGAAGCACGAAAGTAGAATAAATGCTGTAGAAATGCGGTCTTTAAGGAGTATGCTAGGGTTGAATCTGAATGACAGGGTGAGAAATTGAGTGATAAGAGATAAATGTGGTATGCAAGATGATGTTGTGACCAGGATTAAGAAAGGAATGCTTCGGTGGTTTGGTCATGTAGAAAGAATGAATGAGGAAAGAGTGACAAAGCAAATTTATATGGCAGATGTGAACGGCCGAGTCGGGAAGGGACGCCCTAGAAAAAAGTTTATCGACCAAATTGGCGATATTTTGAAAAGGGGCCACGTTAGAAGTACCCTTAACCGACGAGCATGTATGCGTAGATATATGGATGTAAAGGAGGCGAAAGAGGTATGTCAGGATCGTGCCAAATGGAAGTCCGTAGTCTCTGCCTACCCCTCTGGGTAACAGGCGTGAGTGTTTATGTTATGTATGTTATGTAATAATGGTGACAAAAAAAGCACACAGTCCACCTGATGGGAAGTGGATGCTGTGGTCCATAGACATCTACATCTATCCTCCATTACAATTTTAAAACGCAGATGCGTAAAACGCTCTTACTTCTAAAGTTCTGAATGGTTAATTTGCAGATACAAATCTAGTTTAGGGATAAGTATAAAACATTTTTTTAAAATTAATTTCTTCATACGTTATAGTTGTTACTTAACTTGTGCTAAATATAAATAGATAATTTTTTTGTTTACCCACCTCGTTAGTCCGGTGGCCGCAAGCATCGCACACTGTCGCCATGATCACCACCTCTTTGAAATGTGGGATCTCTGTAATGTTGCATTAGATTATGTGGTAGAGCACAAACAGGTCGGCTCTTTCTATTCAATATAGATTACAAATCTAGATCTAAATCTTTCAAAGGCTTTGGACACAGTTTCAGTTTCAGTCTTACTCTACAGAATAAAAAGAATAGGGGAGTAAAAAGCCTAGCTCTGGACATTTTAGTGATTACCTCAGTAACTGCAGACAATGCGTGAAAATATAGTATAATATTTATAGTAGATACGATTTTTGCACTATGGTGTACCACAGGGTAACATATCAGGCCCTACTCTGTTTCTAATTTACATCAACAACCTTTGTAAGATATCTTCACATAACTGCAAAATTTCAATTTATAAAGATGATACTACCTTCATCATCCATGGCAATGGAATGTCCCGGGTAGGTGTTAGAATGAAATAAGCATGCCTTGAAACTGGTAACACAGTTCCAGTTACATACATTACTGATACAGCCTATTAAAGTCCACTGCCGAACATAGGCCTCCCCCATAGATTTCCTCATAGAGGTATATCTGCCAGTTTCCACGCTTTTTTTCGGTTGGCAACCGCAATTTTTTTTTTCGCTTTTAGTCGTTATTAGAAAGACGCTACTGCCCATCAATTCATTTGTTTCCCTTTGTCGACTCTTACGACACCCACGGGATGATACGGGGTAGTGGAGATTTTTACACCACCACTACACGTTAAACAATATCTGTCTTCAAAATCTGCTCACACTAAATATTCCTAAAACTGATATAACTTTTCAATTAAGAAAAATACAGAACTGGCGTTAAAGGCCTATGAAATTAAAATACATATATGCAGTTCTACAAACTGATTACATGCATGCATGTGTACATCTGTTTCATAGGTGAGTTTAGAGATCCTTTTTACTTGAAATGTCTCACATCATGTATCACATCTTAGTATTCAGGAGTGACAACGCATCTACATTTTGATTCTTGATCGAAGATACATGTAGATGTCTATGGGCTAGAGCAACCAATTACCATAAGGTGGACTGTGTACTCGACGACTTCCAGCCTCCCGAACGCTTTCCGGTTTCCGAAAAGACTTCAATACCATAGACCACATACACACCCTGCGGCAGATTGTACAGAAGATCGAAGAGTACAATCTGCCACTTTGCCAGACGTATGTGGATTATGAGAAAGCCTTTGATTCCATCGAAATTTAGGCGGTGTTACAGTCCCTTCAGCGGTGCCAAGATGACTGCCGGTGTATCGAAGTGCAGAAGTGTTTGTACAGTAGGGCTACGATGGCTATCCGAGTACAAAACCAGAGTACGAAACCTATCCAACTGCAGAGAGGTGTAAGACAGGGTGACGTTACATCCCCGAAACTCTTCACCGCTGCGTTGGAAGACATTTTCAAGCTACTGGACTGGAAAGGATACGGTATTAACATCAATGACAAGTACATCACTCACTTTCGATTTGCCGACGATATAGTCCTTATGGCAGAATCGCTGGAGGACTTAAACACTATGCTCAATGACCTCAATAGTGCCTCCCAACGGATAGGTCTTAAGATGAACATGGACAAAACCTAAACCTAAACCTATGCCGGTAGTTTTTGGGAGCACTAAGCTCGAAGTTGTTGACGAGTACGTTTACCTGGGACAAATAGTCCGACTAGGTAAGTCCAACTTCGACCGAGAGGTCAATCGACGGATTCAACTCGGCTGGGCAGCGTTCGGGAAATTACGACGCATCTTCTCGTCAGGTCCAGTCTCGTCGTCATATCTCAAAACCTGAAATCTAAGTTGTAGAACCAGTGCGTGTTGTCAGTGATGACCTATGGAACCGAGACGTGGTCCTTCACTGCTGGCCGTATAAGGACGCTCAAAGTCGCTCAGCGAGCTATGGAGAGGGCTATGCTCGGAGTTTCTCTGCGTGATAAACTTAGAAATGAGGATATCCGCAATAGTTCTACTGCGGATATCCTCATTTCTAAGTGTCTTCTCTCTTTCCTTCAGAGTGATCGACATAGCCCAACGGATTAGTAAGCTGAAGTGGCAATGGGCCGGCCATATAGCTCGAAGAACCGACAACCGTTGGGGAAGAAGGGTTCTCGAGTGGCAGCCTCGTACCGGTAGGCGAAGTGTAGTGCAACCCCCCACTAAAAGGAGTAACGATCTGGTAAGACATGCAGGAAGTCGATGGATGCAGGGGGCTCAGGACCGTGCTTTGTGGCATTCCTTGGGGGAGGCCTATGTTCAGCAGTAATCTTGTGAAGGGCTGTAATAATGATGATGATGATGGACTGTGTGCTCGTTTAAAAAATAAATTAATAGAAGGAATAGATGACGAATTACTTAGGTATCCACGTTTATAGTACTCGTAAAGTGGAATACAACTTACTACTGGTAGTATCAGAAAACTCATTATGAGTTTTACACCTTTAAAATTGAAAGGAAGGTAGCTGATAAACACATAATAGACATGATATGCAGTGGTATACAGTACCCTATGTCAATCGCACGCACATCGCAAACAAGCACGCACGCACGGAACACACACATTATAATGTTGGAAGGTGTCAATGAAAAGGGAAATGTTGTCCTGTCTATGACTTTAATTCGACTACTACTTACTCTACAATTTACATGAATATAATATTATGTCGTATGGGTTATACCTATACTACAACATACACGAACGCACGCACGCACACACTAACGCATGCATGCGAAAACACCACCCCAAACACACTTAATTATGTTTTCATTTATACTTTTTTGCTAACCTGTAATTGTGTAGCCGACACTACTTTTGTGATGAGCGCTGACTTTTATTTTACAGGTCCTGCCTAGTTTCGAAGTCAGATGTTCTAATATAACTTTAGATGTAATATTTAGACATGTATGTTAAGATATAATTCATGTAAATTTATTATGAAGAAGAAATAAATAAACTTACCGTTGCAGCCTATTGAAGTCCACTGCTGAACATACCATTACATTATATACATTACCATGCTTGCTATGCTACATAGTTGCCATGCTTGGCAACTGAAGTTTTTATTATTAGCCGTTATTATTAAGACGCTGTTGGCCATCTCCTGATTTGTTTCTATCAGTCGCCTCTTACGACACTCACGGAACGATATGGAGTAGTGGAGATTCTAACACGGCCTCTACATAGTAAAACACAATTTATTACAAGTACTTAAATTCAAAGCTTTTATTTATCACTTGTATGGTGTCCTAGAATTTTGTAATCAATATTTCACCCATTTTAACTGAAGCTAAAATTTACCACACATACACAATACACAAGAGCCGTGGTAGCTCAGTGGTTAACGCTCGCTGTAAATATACGCGAGTAACCCGGGTTCGATCCCCGCCGGCACCAATGAAATTGTTAATTGCAATTTTAAGTGCTGATTTACCACGTGCTCGGCGGTGAAGGAAAACATCGTGAGGAAACCTGCATGTCTGAGGAATAAGAAAAAAAATATTTCGAAGGCATGTGAAGTTCGTCAACACGCATTTGGGCAGCGCGGCGGACACTTCCTTGCCCTAAACCCTCTCAGAAATGAGGGGAGGCCTGAGTCCAGCAGTGGGACGTATATAGGCTGTAACTTTACACAATACACAATTAGGTACTTAAATTCTGCCATCTTTTCAAGATCAATAAATCTCACGACAAGCTTTTATATCATATTTTATATAATTATGTTATGTAATAAATTGATGGTTTTGATTTATTTTAAAGTTTACTTTCTTCCTTTTAAAGCATTTAAATAAACGTTGTGGGATTGGAAATTTAACCCACACGTTTGTCCATTACGGTTTGAGGGTGTGCAGTAAGCTAACTGATTGAGCTTGTGGACGCCGCCGTTGACGTGTAAATCGTTCCTTCGCTGCCGATCTAAGTTGAGATCCTGCACTGATGCCAACTTGAACTGTTCCATTCAAACTTTGAAGGACTAATTAGTTCTTCCTAAGGTCTGAATGATGTTTAGACCAGAAGGTGTATGACTCATTTTAACGTCATGTCGGGGAATAATTTATCTTGAAACTCATGTTGGGAAGGCCTTTGTTCAGCAGTGGGACTTTATGGGCTGATAAGATAAGAAGATAAGGTATAAAGGTTTTTTTTAAATAAGAAAGATTAATTTACCATTGGTTCGGAAATTACTTTTGACCTGGGAAGTATCAGCTAGACACAGCAGGACTTTTGTTGCAAAATAAAGATAGTTTAAGTTTTTTTATACCATCTTTATACCATACTTTATATCTATATATATATAGGATATTATACCATCTTTGCTTAAATTTATTAACTTAATTTAGGTAATATAGAAGAACTTACTGGTCAACTTCATGTTGGTATCAGCGGGGGCGTTGCAGTCTGGACAGTTAGTTTTGAACTGCAGCACCTCGTCCGTGACCATCCTGTCGTACGAGCCGATCTCCGGGGTGGTTTGACCCGCTTCACCGTTGGTCGCTTCATTAACCTGATGGGAGACAGTGCTTCTTTATAAAAGAACTTTAAGGTGGTACATCCATGCTGCAGCTATATTATTGTTGTAACACGAATGGGTCGGCTCGACCGGGGTAGGACCACACTCTCACAGAATACCAGCTTAAAATAGCAGCCTAATGCTGTTGTGTTAAAGTGTAGAGGACCAATGTGAGGATAAATGTAGGTGTGTATGGACCACAGCATCAAATAAAATCATATAGAAAGCATCATATAGAAAGCATTTTAAAGACTGCGCGTAGGAATTACATGCTTTAATTCCTCCCTCTCCCTTTCACCATTCGACGAGAGGCTGTCAGGGCTTTACCCAATCGGTTTGCTTCGTTCGGTTCGTACAGCAAAGGAGTGGAATAATCTGCCATCTGTCTTTCCTTCCTATTACATTCTGAGTGTCTTCAAGGCGCAACAGTGACTAAACTTTTGTTACGCTACGCTAAGATAGTGCAATTAACCATCTAGGGCTACATCACCACTTAGCACCAGGTGAAATTATATTAAAGCACAGGCTTATGAGTAAAAAGGGCTGCAAGTTCAAATCCCACACAAAACAAGTGTTTGATATGGCCTATATATAACTCTCTCAAGTCTGGATGTTAGGAAAACAAAATTACCATGGACATCTGGATGACATTTATGGACTAACATCCAGACCTAAATGTTAAAAAATTCTAGTGTCGTTCTAATTAGAAAAAAGAAACATTTATTTTACCAACACACAACAATAAAAATGCAGATGTGTGATGTCAAAAAGGATCTCGCTTCTGTGATAATCTGTAGAGTAGGACTTTGTCAGCCATCGATCACTAATAAGAAACTAGATACACAATCAGTGACAAAAAAAACCGGCCAAGAGCGTGTCGGGCCACGCTCAGTGTAGGGTTCCGTAGTTTCCCGTCCGTCACAATAAGTCTTCCCACTTATGAGTTTAAAGGTGGGTATCCATTATGTTCGCGCTCCAGCAGCGCTCCGTGCTCCTGCAACTGCTCCCGGTAGTGGGTACTGTTGTTTCCATCCAAATTCAAAATGATTTTCCTAGAAAGTCCTTATAAAGTTCTACTTTTTCGGATTTTTTTCATATTTTCTAAACTTATGGTTCAAAAGTTAGAAGGGGGGGGACACATTGTTTTTTACTTTTGGAGCGATTATTTTCGAAATTATTGACATTATCAAAAAATGATTTTAGTAAACCTCTATTCATTTTTAAATACCTTTCCAACAATATATCACACGTTAGGGTTGAAATTTAAAAAAAAAATTACTTCCTTTACATATAGGGGGGCTACCCTAATAAAACATTTTTTTTTTTCCAATTTTTATTATACCACTTTTTGGGCGTGATTGATACACATATTGGTACCAAATTTCAGCTTTCTAGTGCTAACGGTCACAGAGATTAAGCGAGGACGGACAGACGGACAGACAGACATGGCGAAACTATAAGGGTTCCTAGTTGACTACGGAACCCTAAAAACGACCTCACCGAATGAGCACCCATTCGAACATTTCGGTACGCTTTTAATCTAGTTACATTCGAACGCTCCGACGATAAACATGCCTCAGTGCTCGTTTAAAAAGTGTAAAAATCACACATCCAGGACGCTAAAAAAGAATGGAATTTCTTAATTTCGGTACGTATTAATATTCTCATTATTTAATTGTTATCACTGTATTGTAAATACTTATATTTTGTCAAGAAATCTCCGTAAAACATTTTTTAAATTAAGTCTTAATAAAATAAGTCATAATTGTTCGTTGACTCTGTTCCATTTGTTGGAGACGTTATTATTTTTTTATTACTAAAGTATGATTTTTTTTTTGTTTATTGAGACTTCTTTATAGTTTCTCCAAATATTATAGTAACATATTGTAGATTTAATTTTGAATATGTGCATGTAGTAAAATTAAAGAAGTGAGATTTTATTTTTAATTTTTCAGCATTCCTCGAGATCCTGTTAGGTGTGCAATATGGATATCAGTCATAGCATGTCAAAGGTCCGAAGAAACCTTCAAACTGACCCAAGGAAGCGTTGTATGTTCGAAGCATGTTTTATAAAGTGATAAATATGTGACGACTTACAACTTTCTGTACATACTTTTTATATTTAGTAACTATTGAATTTAGATTAAGTCTTTGTCAAGCAATATTTTTAAATTTATGACTCAAGATGAAGAATAAATAAATAATTATGACTGTTTCAAGTACTTTCGTTACTAAATGAATCTGGTGTCCTATCCAAAAAAGGTATTTACATTCAGGTAAACTGTAACCATTACACATAATACATTATAGAAAAGAATAAAATATGCTTTATGTACACCAGTTTTTAAAACAAGTTTGAAATATTTTAAAATTCAGGGGTCTAATAACAGTAACAAAAATATTGGGCAGTTCGACTCCAATGATTCCTTGTCTAAACTACGAGCCTCGGTCGTAAAATTTGATTGCTTTTTATTAGTACTTTGCAATTCTGACTTTAAAACATGAGTGTAAGGTTGAATTTGTTTTGATATGGGTTGACCAGACAGTATCAGCCATAAAAATTTATTGCTTTTCGTACGTATCTTTGTGAATACAACTATAGGCAACGTATTTAGAGTTGAATTTACATAAATGTATATTTATTTGAACTAGAGTTACGTCACAACAATTGGGGCCAGTTTTTTGAGAACTTTTGTATGGGATTGTGCATCTAGTTCTTTATTAGTGATCGATGTTGTCAGCACTGGTTTTCAGTCGGGGCCTTAATTGACTCACGAACAACCGAACATTGATGTGAAAACACTTAAACTAATAAAATATTAGTAAAACTTTAAATTAATAATAATTCTCATACTAGACCCACAACTATATTGTTATATGTTTAAGATTGTATGGTCAAAATCTTTGCCTAGTTTTTAAGACATTCTATTATGTATAGTGTATACTGGTGACTGCCTCGTTGGTTTAGTGGTTGTAATAGTGCGACTGCAGATCATGAGGTCCTGGGTTCGAAATTCGAATCCGGGGTCGGGCCAAAAATCAATTATTGAGTTTTTCCGTCAAGAAATTCCTAGTAGCTGCCCGGAATCAGGAAGTTGGTGGTGTCTCACCCCTATGCCTCGGAAAGCACGTAAAGCCGTTGGTCCTGCTCCTGGTCTCTCTCCAGTCGTGTCGGTTTATCCTTCCCATCGGATTATGAGAGTGAGGGAATAGAGAGTGCACCGGTGCTTGCGCATACCCTTGGGCATTATAATCCTGTCCTGCGCCGATGGCTATCCTCCGTTGAGACAGGCCGCCGTGGCCGAAATTCGGTCTGGAGGACATTATTATTATTGTATACTGGTATATAACATTACTATATTATATATTAACATTAATGTTTTTACATCGACGTTAAGTCCCCGAAAATATCGACACAACGATGTTAAGAAAATAATATCGAAATATCGATAAATCCGATTGGTTACTATATTGTATCCATTACTTTTTATGACAAGTCTCAGGATGCACCTATCCAAAGTTGCATAAAGTGGCCATTAAACATTTGTGCAGCACAGAGAATTTGACAGCTTTCAAAAGACTTTTTCCAAAAACTGGTCATCTGTATCAAAATAGAATACAGATTAGGTAGATAGATAGATTATAGGGAAAACTTCTTACACCTAAAACATCGATGTTTTCGGACATCGATATTGGTATTTATCATAGAAAACTTTAATACACAACAGAATGGTTGTTAACTTTGTTTTGATTGAGATTGAGAGATATCGAGTTTGGCGTCGCCAAACCCGATTCGCTGTGTTGACAGAATTTTTACACATTTTAGACGCTTGATAATTTTCAAGATCATCATTAAAAAAATCGTTTAAATTTTAATACATATTTATTTGTAAATAGGGTGCAATTTGACATTTTCTAAATAATTTGCATGCGAAATTTGGAAACGATTGTAACGTCAAAACACATCTCGTGTTGACATTTACATGTGTGAATTAACATGTTAGTGGCTACGCGGGCTCCGCCCATTCCCCCGTTCTATTATGTATGTATTATAGTATCCTATGGTATTTATCGTACACTGATACTTTTGAAGAGAACCTACCTCATCCGATGTAAATATGCCAAGAACATGATTCTGTTCTTTAGTCCTTTTGAAGTCGGTCCGTTCGCAGCGCGGATCCTTGCTCGGTGCTTCTGGATTCTCGATGTAGCAGTTACCTGCAATTGTTAATCATCATCATCATCGTCATTGCAGCCCTTTACATGTCCTGAACCACCTGTAGGAGGCTGCCCAGAGCATATAGTTGCAGTGTATGAATATCCACTAGCCCATATCGTATCGTGAATGCTGTAAGAGACGATAGAGGGGGAGTGGACCAAAATCAATCATTGAATTTGCTGAAGAGAATGTATGTGGTCTATGACCGCCTGGTTGATCTAATTGTCGTAAGTGCGGCTGCCGATGGTGTGGCCCCGGGTTCGAATCCCGGGGCGGACCAAAATCAATCATTGAATTTGCTGAAGAGTATGTATGTGGTCTATGACTGCCTGGTTGATCTAATTGTCGTAAGTACGGCTGCCGATCGTGTGGTCCCGGGTTCGAATCCCGGGGCGGACCAAAATCAATCATTGAATTTGCTAAAGAGTATGTATGTGGTCTATGACTGGCTGGTTGATCTAATTGTCGTAAGTGCGGCCGCCGATCGTGCGGTCCCGGGTTCGAATACCGCGGCGGACCAAAATCAATCATTGAATTTGCTGAAGAGTATGTATGTGGTCTATGACTGCCTGGTTGATCTAATTGTCGTAAGTGCGGCTGCCGATCGTGCGGCCCCGGGTTCGAATCCCGATGCGGACCAAAATTAATCATTGAATTTGCTAGAGTATGTATGTGGTCTATGACTGCCTGGTTGATCTAATTGTCGTAAGTGCGGCTGCCGATCATGTGGCCCCGGGTTCGAATCCCGGGGCGGACCAAAATCAATCAATGAATTTGCTGAATAGTATGTATGTGGTCTATGACTGCTTGGTTGATCTAATTGTCGTAAGTGCGGCTGCCGATCGTGTGGCCCCGGGTTCGAATCCCGGGGCGGACCAAAATCAATCATTGAATTTGCTGAAGAGTATGTATGTGGTCTATGACTGCCTGGTTGATCTAATTGTCGTAAGTACGGCTGCCGATCGTGTGGTCCCGGCTTCGAATCCCGGGGCGGACCAAAATCAATCATTGAATTTGCCGAAGAGTATGTATGTGGTCTATGACTGCCTGGTTGATCTAATTGTCGTAAGTGCGGCTGCCGATCGTGTGGTCCCGGGTTCGAATCCCGGGGCCGACCAAAATGAATCATTGAATTTGCTGAAGAGTATGTATGTGGTCTATGACTGCCTGGATGATCTAATTGTCGTAAATGCGGTTGCCGATCGTGTGGCCCCGGGTTCGAATCATCATTAGATTTTTCTATCAAGGAATTATCAGTTGTTTGGAATCAGGAAATTGGCGGTATTTCACCTGCGTGCCTCAGAAAGCATCTAAAGCCGTTGGAATTGATTTACATAGCACCTGATTATCTTTAGTCATTATAATGTTTATTTAAAAAAATTTAAACTTTGAAGATAAAAATTATTTTTAGTTTATATATAAATTAACAAAAAAAAGTATTAAATAAATAGCTATGCGTTTGAATTATCATAATTAAAATTTAGATTATGGTGCAAAATTTCTCGGCCGAATACTTTTGCCTAATATTCGACTATTCGGCCAGGATGTCCGCAGAATACTCGGTAGTGGCCGAATATACCATTTGTTGCAAGTATAATAAATAGAAATAGATCAAATATATCTTACCACTAATATCTTCAAGTATTAATGTCCATGGTGTGTCTAGAGTTTTAAGCGCTTGCAGGCGTCCCACAAAAGCTTCAATCTTTGCGGCGGCCTCAGGGTGCTCTGCTTTCCTATTTTCCTGGTCCTGCATCAGCCCCGATATAGCTCGAGCCAGGATACCTTCTACTGTGGTGACCTCTACAAATGACCAAAGTTATAACCACTTGAAAATAATTCACATGATATTTTATATATGGTAAAGTTATAATGCAGCTATATTAGTTGTAGCTCAAATGGGTCGGCTTGAGTAGATTCATGCTACCACAGAATACTAGCGTGAAATACACAACTCGATATCTTCGCGAGTAAGCTTGGGGATAACTTTCACTCTGCACTCAACGACTGGTTTACGGTCTTGGGAGATTTTAATATGCCAAATATCAGCTGGATCTTAATGGAAAGCGGTCAATTAGGGCCAATAGTTGTTTTAAACGAAAGTAAGGCAAATTTTTTGGACATAATTAATGATTGTAATCTCGACCAATACAATAACATACGAAATAGCAACGATAGGCTACTGGATCTTGTCTTTTGCAATAACCATGTAAATGTACTACCCAGTGACCACCCCCCTGTCTCAGAGGATTTACACCATAGATCAATTTGCATCGAATTAAATTTAGACCTACCTAGTTTTCTAACTGTGAATAAGAGAACTGTTTTTAATTACAAAGAAGGAAATTATGTAGAAAATAATTCAAACTTGTCGAAAAAAGATTGGAATGTCTTGTTATCGAGCGGTTCTATTGACGACAATGTTCATAATTTTTATCGTATTCTGACCGATCTTCGTGACGAATTAATATGTCACAAAATTATCTGTAGTAGCTCATTTCCTATTTGGTACAATTTGATTGTACCAAAAACCGCCTTAAAAAAGGTTTTAAAGGAAAAATTCAAATATTTAAAAAAATATAAAAAAATACGGTAACCGGTACGATTAGGAAACATACTCATTTCTGAGAGAAAGAGCCGTAAAATTAGAAAGCGAGTGTTATCAGTCATACATAAGTAAAGTAGAAAACTCGGTAATAAATAACCCACGTCTTTTTTGGTCATACACAAAGTTGCTGAAAGGGCCCTCCCAGGCACTAGCAACTGTTATGACATATGAGGATCAGTCTGGTGATACTGGACAATCGGTGTGTAATTTATTTTCAGATATTGGCCGTACACCTAATCTTGATAATCAGTGCCAAGATAATTTTAGTATTGGTGACATAAATATAAATCCGAAGAAGGTTGAAATATTGCTGAAAACTACTAACATGAATAAAGGCGCTGGGCCTGATAGTATAACACCTTTTTTTATAAGGCAGTGCGTAGATAGCTTGGTAACCAAGCAGCCTCTATGCATTATTTACAAGCATTCTTTAAAAGAAGGTATACTGTCAATGACCTTTTTTTGTTTATTTTTTTATTTTTGTTTTTTGCATGGGGAAATGCCTACGCATACCCGCCTCGCGGGGGCAAGGACGGGTTATGTCGGACTCGCACCGACTAAAACCCCATGGTGTTCCACCTTTGTCGCATATTGGCAGGGCTACGGGAACGCTTTCGCACACATCCGCGGCCCTACTAGCGCCTGCCGCCCCATGGCAGCACCTCCTCGGGAGAGGAAAATTCCTCCCCGTTCTCCTTCCCAGGTAAGGCGCACCAGAACACATGGCGCGCCTTCCTCCACGGCCTCCAACTACGTCTGTGCAACAGACGCCCCCCGCGTCCGATGCACAAAGGCCATGGGGCCAGGAAAAACGAGCACTTAGAAGTACTAGCCTTCCCGACCCCAGCGGCGGATCTGGTCTATGGCTCCGCCGCCAACCAAGATTCGGCTGCGGAGGGTAGGGAGAGCGGCGCCTCGCAATACCGACAATCCTCTCCCCCCGCAACCCACCACCACCGCATCAACGGTGCGGCCCCGTTTGAGTCGCGAAGGATAGGGCGAGTGGCGCATCGCCATACCAACACTCCTCTTCCTCCGCGACTCCACCTCGACTGCAGCGGTAGAGGGTGCGCGAGTCCCCACTAGCTGCAGTCCACCAGCACACATCCGAAGTGGGCTCCCCAAGCCCACTCGGAGCGGCCACCTCAGGCCGGCCCTTCACCTCGGGCCAGCCACGTGGGTTCCTCTTTGTTCACCGTGGGAGACCAAGCCACGGCTACTAAGCCCCCCGCCACGACAAGGCGGGAACCCGTTCGGGGGGGATACTGTCAATGACCTGGAAATCAGCATTCGTTACGCCCGTAAAAAGCGACGACCGTTCTAATGTAAACAATTATAGGCCTATATCCAAGTTGTGTATATTTGCCAAAATATTTGAGAAAGTTGT